TCCCTCCCACCCCCCCCCCGCCCCCCTGGCTCTGTACCTCGCAGAGGGTCCTTTTCTAGAGGAGCGGCCGGGACCAGGTGAATGAGCACCAGCTGTTCATGTTCCTGCAGAGGCCCAAACATCTGTCTAGACAGGGCCCAGATGTTGAGCAATCCCTTGGGGGTGGGGCCTGTAGATGGGGGCACAGCCCCCTTGTGTGTTCCAAGGCCACTCATTTGTGGGAATAGGCAGCTCTGTGGGGTGAGGGCTTCTGTGGGTTTGAGGGGGTGTGGGACTCCGTTATCGAGGTGAAGAACGTTTTCTGTCGCCTGTCCCCACACGTCTATTCTATGGCCTGAGAGCATCCCTCCCCCACCACAGTCTCTGGGAGGTGAGCAGGAATCACATGACCAGGGCTCCCCCCCCCCCCCCCGGGTATAGAAAAAGATTTCTTAAACCAGATACAAAAACTCCCCTATGGATACTCCTTATGGGAGTTCCTATATCACCACACACACATACACGTTTCCAACCCTTTCCACAATTCGTGTAATTTTTCTCCAGTCTGAAAATAAGTGACGTTGTACCCTTCTGAAGTTTTGCCTGTCTCAGGTCGGTTTGGAACATCTAAGCATGGGCATTAATGAGGCAAGCTAGGTGATGTACCAAACTCCAAGTGTCAGGGGCTTTACAAAATAAATGCTTATTTTCCAGTTAAGTGTTTCTCCCTAGGGGCGTAGGAGGGGCCTGTTACTTCCTGTCCTGGGAAGGTGACCCTGTCCCTCTGATGTGCTCTTTGGGCCAGTAGGGAAGTCCCCCTTCTATCCAATTCAGTGCTGTGATGCCGGCTTGGTTTTTGTGGGGTCCTGGATGGTAGACTCATCTGGCCTGGGGAGGACTGTGCTCGGGAGGCAGACCCAAGTGGGCGGGAGCCCCACGACGTCTGCCCAGACTGTGGTTGGCTGCCTCTGGGCTGCCTCGTGGTCCCCGGCCACAGCGTCACATGGAGGAGCCGGCGGGGCTGGGTGTCCTAGTCCCTTGCCAGCACTGGCTCGACGGAGGGGTCTCAGCCTGCTGTCCTCCTCCCTGGCCAGGGCTTGAGACACTGGCCTCACTCTGGAAGCTTGTGGTTGAGGGAAAAGAAGGGAGTGAGACGTGGAGACCGGGCAGCTGTGTGATGTGATGCCCAGTGTTGGGTGGGGGGGGGTGAGTGGGGGCTAAGGAGAGGCTGGAGAGAAGGGTCAGGACAGAAATGCCCTCTCCCTCGACAGGGAATCTTCGAGAGGGTCAACCGTTAAGTGTGCTGCTGGGCGGGTCCAGCCCGGGGTCTGTGGTCAGTAACTGAGGCCTGATGTGGGGCCAGAAGGCATGTGGAGTGAGGGCCACCACGGGCACAGCACGAGTGGCCATCCTGCCAGAGCCCCATCCACACCACCCGGCTCTGGACATGCCAGGCTGGGCAGAGAGACAGCTGGACAGGAGGGTCCCCAGCGAGAGCCCCCAGCTAGGACTGAGGCTTGACCAACTGTGTGCTGCCTGCCGTGGCTCCGGGCTGGGGCAGGTGCTGGGGTGCACCGGCCTGTGAGCAGCAGAAGGGTGAGTGCCCAGGAGGGCTGAGCACCGGACGTCCTGAGGTAGGCCCCCCCCCAGGGGTATGGTCCAGGGAAAGGAGTTCCTGGAGATGAAGGGAAAGGAAATGGCTTGGAGCCTGGTGGTTGGAGGCCGGGAGCTGGGCGGGGAGGGCCCCACCGAGGAGCCTCCCTCCCCCTGCAAGGCCCTGGCTGGAGCTGGGCCACGTGGATCTGCTTTGGAAGCCAACCAGGGCGCTGGGGCAGGGCTGACACATCACAACCCTGGTCTAGATGAGAGGGGGCGTCTCCCCCGAGCGCCCCAAAGCCCGAGGGACAAGGTCCCTGAGCGAGGGCCAGGCTGGGGAAGAAGCGACCTTGGGCAGAGGTCCTCGGGCTGGGTGGGTGGGCGGAGGGCCCGCCTCCTGTGCTGAGGAGATGAGCACCTCAGACCCCACCCCGGGCTCCGGGAGCCCAGGCCGCAGCCCAGAGAGGAGGCAGGGCGGAGATAGGCTGACTCTCCCCGTCTGACTGACCCCATTTGCTTCCAGGGCCCCCCAGGGCCCAGGGCGAAGTCTGAGCAGCCACTAACCTGTGGAGGTCACCCCAAGACCACCAGGTCTCACTGGTCCCGAGCACGCCTCACCCCCTGCAAGGCCCAGAGCAGCCAAGGTGGGGGGCCTGGTCCTCCCCGGCCCACCTCTCCCTCCTCCTCGCCTGGGTCCCCAGGGGCACCTGCTGCTCCCGGCACACCTGTCCCCAGCTCTGCTGGGACCTGCAGGGTCTTTCTGGCTCTGCTGGTCAGGCCCCTTCCCCAGCCTCTGCCCCGGAAGGCACCTCCTCCAGTTCTGACCTGGGGAACCACATTCCTGGCATAGCTGAGACAGGTATGTGTCCCTCCCTCTGCGCCACCTTTGGGTGAGGGAGGCCTGCGGCTCTGGGACAGCCTCTTCCGGAAGGAGACCCCCCTGCTTTGTTGGGGTGTGGCCTGGCCGCCTCCACTGACAGCCCCCCCACGCAAGCCTGCCCAGGCTGGCAGCTGAGCCAGCAGCTCCTCCAGCCCTTGGCCGCCTTGTCCTGGGCAGGGCACTGCCCACTCACTCCACCGCATGAGGCTAGTCCTGGCCTCCCCTGCAGCCCCCAG